GGTTGGCATTGTCAGGCCCCTTTCTAAGTGAGTTGGGGACGTTTGCTCCCCCCTCCCCAGCAATGTCGCAGCCTTGATGTGCTCAGCTTGGGGAAAGGGAGATAAATGCTGAGATGGCAGGAGGCTGGGAGGGGGATGCGCTCGCACACAGCGCTTAATGGGGAAGGATGGGATTACAGGGGTCACGCTAGGTGAGCAGCTTCCTTCGCGGAGCTGATGGTATCAAAGCAGGTGCCCCCGGCTGCAAATACCTTGCGCAAACAAACAGGGCTGTCTAAGAGCAGCTGTATTTGCAAAGACATACGTTGGGGAATAACAGTTACTTGTGTCCCCCAGTGCCCAGGGAAGATGCTTCCTTTGAGGAGGACGATGACTTGTCTGAGGAGGACGAGGAGGAGCTTCCTCCTATCATGCCAGCCAAGAAGTAGAAGAGGAAGCAGTAACCTCCAGGCAAGGTGAGGGGCCTGGCAGGCTGGGAGGAAGGGGCCGTGTGACTGGGAGGAAGGGGGCTGGGCAGGCTTGGAGGAAGGGGCCGGGTGGCCGTGAGGAAGGGGCTGGGTGGCCGTAACGCCAGCATGGTGGGCATGGGTGGGAGCTGCCCCGCTGCAGGAGGCTGCTGGTCTCAGTCTGGTTCTTCCTCCAGGTACTTGCTGGGACTTCTCTCCCTGGATGGCTTTTACCTCAGACACCTCTTGCCAGGACCTCTACGTTTGCTGCTTTGGTTTTTGGTTTTGGTTTTTTTTTTTTTTTTTCTCTTGTAACCTTTTGGGGAGCAGGGGCTGCTCCCAGCATTGGGGTGTCTCCTTTCCCACAGCCCTGGGAGGTTGATCCCAAAACTGGATGGATGCTGCTGATATATCCCCTCTCCCCCATCCCTGTGCTGGGAGTTGGGGATGAAGGAGATCATCCTTGCCCTGTGCCTTTTTGCTGTCCTGGACCTCTGCTCTGTGCACCCCCTCTCCCTAGCTCCGAAATACCCAGGCCTGGCCTCTTCCACAGCAGATGGATGTGAAGCCAGTGGTGGGACAGGCAGTTTCACTGACTTCTAGTGCGTTTGCTTTTCTTTACTCACAATTGTATGGTTTTTATACATGTGGAAGTGTGAAACTGGGGCCCAGGCAGCGCGTCCTCAACTGCAGTTATGATGGGGTGGGAACTCACAGCCTGTTTGTGATTTGGGGGGAAGCTTCTGGGTTAGTCTGCTCTGTAAAGAACTGTTTTTACTCTCTGAATAAAGAAGGTCTCTCAGGCACCAGGTCTGGAGGGGGGGTGTCACTGCTGGCTGGCTGGCTGGTTCCTCCCATGCGCACTGCAGTGGGAGATGCTCCTCTGTGTCTCGACCCCCGACACAGGGCGATGCTGCAGAGCTCCCAGGAGGGGCCCGGGGGCTCCTCTTTCTGCCTCGTGGTCTCTGCACGCTTGTGCCCCGTGAGCCAGCTTGGCGCTGCATCCAGGCTACAGACGGAAGCTGCAGAGTTGCAGGTGACTGTGTGGGGCAGGGACCCAGCTCCACGTGTGCTCCCAAAGGTAACCCAGCTGTTAGCAGCAACCCCTGGTTTGGGCCACATCGGCCCTGGTGCTGGGCAATGTCACAGCAAGGCCCTCGCTTGTGTCTTGCCCTCAGCCCAGCAGCGTCCTGCAGAGGGGTGAAACCCCAGTGCCTGCAGGGTGTGGGGCAGGTTTGAGCTCTCACCTTTGCTGGGGAGTCGTGGCCCCCCCGTGTCTAGGTGCCCAGAGAAGGTTTGATCCTTTCTGCACTTTGTTCAGGTGACATTTCTCACACCTGGGAGCTGGGCCTGTTCTTAAATGTTTCTCTGGCCATTCCTCTGCATCTGATCTTGCATCCCTGACCCATGGGTTGATGCCTGTCCCGGCCCTCCTTGTTTGTGATGCTGGCTGTTGTCCCTGCGGAGCACCATGTACCGTCCTGCCCTGTCGGTGCCCTGGGACAGAGAGTTTCTGGGTTGCATGGGCTCCGGTGGGAGATCCTCCGGGGCAGATCCTCAGCTCAGGCTCCATCCTGGGTTGCCAGGGGGGCTGTTTCTCTCCTCTGGGGCCTGCGCAGCTCCCCTCCGCGTCTCACATCCCCACTGCGTCCTTCTGGCCCCAAACAGTCCTTGACCACCGTGGAGGGAGGCGCTGATGCCCCCTCGCAGCGGAGGGGAAAGGGCTGGTGGCACCTCAACCCCACGCACGGGGCTGTGTCCCCGGGGGCCG